AATGGACAGAAACCATTGTTAGAACTCCAAGAGTCTATTGCATTTTAATTAGGATTCTTACCTAAACTGATGTTTTATCAGATTAATTAAGATGACAGGGAATCAGAAGTCCCTACCATGCATTTTAACTGGACCTTAATTCCAGCCAAAGAGGGTTTGTTTCTTCTTAAGGCATCAACCTTCATCTGCCCCACCCACTGAGAACAGTGGGTGTGTAGAGAAAAGAGATGGCTGGGATGTGATGGTTTTGGTAAAGGTAACTATGTAATTTACCAAAACCATGCCAATTTTGAGAGTAAAAGGAGATGAGGGTGCCACGGTGCCAAGGAAGGACAAGTTGCCCACAGGCAAGGAATGCCCTTAGCCCTCCGGGTCCTTCTGCAGCACTTTGAGGATCCCACCTGAGCACTGGAGCCTCCCTCTGCCTGGGCCACCTGCAGCCAATGACTGAACAGGGTAGGGCGTCTGTGGCTAGTCATTTCTGCCCTTGGGGGATTACAGAGTCAGTTTGCTCGGAGCTGCCCTGGTGGACTGGCCCAGCCTCAGATCTGCATCACGCACTGAGGCTCTCTGGCCCAGGCCTGCTTCGACCTCTTCCTTGCCATTTCCCTTCATGGGTGTCAGATCTGCCTTACAAGATGAAGGCTTTTCCTGCCCATTTTTGCTTCCTTTCTTTCATAAGCACTACTTTTCAATAAACTTGTTGCACTCTGTCATAAAGTTTATTTCATAAAGAACCCATCTGACACAGGGGTGCTATTAGTAATTAAGTGTGGGGAACAGACTTAAAGTGCAGCCTTTAATAATCCTAATTATGTTTGGTGGACTTCTGTTGTCCAAGGCCCAAACTTTGTTTTCTGCTAACACTGTCCATGCAACACAGGTGCCTGTGGGGGCCTTTCATAATCTCAGGCAGACCTGGAAATATTAGACCGTAAGTGAATAAACTGACTATTTCTACTGAAGTGGAAAGGGCATTTCCTTACTTCTCTCTTCGAAAGACTCTTCTTTGTCCTCACTTATTTGTCGGTATGCCCAAGGACCATTCCTCTGCCCCCATGCCCCTCTCCCCTTTGCCCTCCCTGTAAGGACTCACTGAAACATAGTTTTCACTTCCATACTTGACAATCCATGTTGTAGCAAAACCTCTCCAATTCTCCATCCACTTATTCAGTAGCTTTATGGGACCTTTTCATTCTGGAGGTCCCACAGACCTCTCAAACACCTTAATTCCTTCAAAACTAAGTCCATTATATTTGCTTATGGAAGATGGCCAGGAGGTCACACAGGTAGGAGCTCTATATATTATGCACTTAGATTTCTTGCTCTCGCTCAGACTCCACCTCAATTTGGTCACAGTGGCATCTTGATTCTACCTTGTACATTTTGGTCAAATCTCTTACCTCTTTTCTACCTTTCAAAAAGATACTGAATAAATATTAGTAATGGAGATAAAAATATGATTTATCACAAGTGTATAATGTATTAGAGATAAGTAGACCTAAGCAAAACAAAACAAAACAAAAATCAACTAAACAGAAGCTGGCAACTACAAGATATAATGAGAGGTGAACAGACAGTCCTATCTCATTTTGACCCCAGAAATGGCATGTGACTGGTATACACATCTGGTGGAAAAATGATTAGATTAAGTATCATCACCTAGAAAGGAAAGCACAAATACCAGGAAGGTCTCTTAGGCACCAAAACCTCTCATAATGATGGAATAATCAAAGGGACCAGACATCCGGCCTTATGTGACCCTGGGTTTATCAGGATTTTAAGCTCACGTCAGTTATAAACTTGGCTGTAGGAGTGAGAGGGATGAGAATTAGAGGCTCTTGGATTTTGAATAAATATATAAAAATAGCCTGAATGCTTTAGAACCCCTAGGCATCTGCTCATGCCTTGCCTTTCTGCTGTAGACATTGCTTCTGTCAGGGTAAATAAATCAATGTAAACACCCACAACGTGCTTTGATCTGTTGACATTGCTGCAACAGCAGATCCGGGCCTGGGGAGCACAAAGCACTCTCTGTAACATTGACAAACACAGAATTATGACTGACATCTCGCCAAAAAAATGTTTGGCTGTCAATACTTACCTTCATGCAGTTTACTGAGTTAGTAGTGACTGTTGTTCGTACAAAACTGTGCTGCCTTGGCTCACAGCAAAGGCAGAGAAGCGTGATTTCATTTTTAAATGGGTGATTGAATTTTTCTAGAAAGTCTCCACAATAATGCTGTTGCCTCTAGATCAGTTGTCTGAGGAAAGAGGTGGTAGCAATTTGGGGGAACTTTCATTTCCTGTTTCATTACCTAGTATTTAGTAACTGGATTGGGGTTAAATGGTGCCTCCATTGCTTTCCCTGTTCATAGCTACCTCTAAGGAGGGCCAAGAGCATCCTTATCAGTTTTTATGGGGCTACTTGAAAAGGCTAATGCTTAGTCCTTTTGTCTCTGCCTTGATTCCTCCACTGATTTAACACCATGTTGCCTGGCCCATCCTTCCAAAACACAAATGTGATCATAGACTTCCCCATGCATAAAGTCCTTTTATGATTTTTCAGGTGCTTAAAGATAAACTTTGAAATTTGTGTCACAGTATACAAGGCCTTTATTTATATGACCAAGTCACCTTCTGAGCTCTTTTCTCTGTATTCCTCATACACTTCTAAGCTGAAATTTATTGTGGCTTATGTGAAGTTCCTGGAATGAGCCATGATATTTTTCCTTTGTTCATGTTATACCCTTTGCCTGGCATATTGAGCATGTACCCCTTCCTCTTCTGTATCACCTGGCAGCACTGAATTCTTTTAGGAGTCTCAGTTGATCCTACCATTTGGGTCATATCTGCTAATGACAACTCTTACTGCTAGGTACTATAATTGCTATGTCCCAGCTTTTTTTTTTTTTTTTGTCTCCCATAGTAGGCTCTGTATTTCCTGTATTTCCTGATGGCAAAGACTCTTTAGTTCTATATGTCCAGCACTTAGCTCAGTATCTACCATAAACTAGGTATCCAGAAGGATAGAGGGACAAGTGTATGGATGATGGAAGGATAGCTGGGTGACTAGCTAGATAGATATATAAAGAGATAGAAAGTTTATTGAAATATCTTTACCAGATACCAACTTCTCCATGCAAATGCTCTCTATAGAATGCTGCCAGGATAGTCTTCTTAAAATATAGATCTTACCATGTCAAAACTTTAAAATGCATAATAAAATATTCATTGGCTCCTCATCTTATAAATTATGATGCCACTTTTTAATCTTCCCTGATCTGACAGAGTTATACGTTATTAGCCTTTCCCAACCAAATGCCCCCTGGTCCAGCCATACTAAATTTTGCATTCATTCATTTATTCACTTATTTTATAACTCTCTTTTCTAATATCTGCTCCAGTGAGAATATAGCATATTTATCTATCATATTAGTATAGGTAATGACTTGCTTTTTAAATTTGACAAAAATATTAACCTCCATTTTCATTTTCCTAAAATTTTGAAGAGGTTAGTCTACAAAAAAGATGAAATAATTCACAGTAGAGCTCCTGTAAAAGAATAGTTCCTAAGAAATATAAAGGAGTATGAAGTTGGGGTCCACATATTTTTCTTAAGTTTTGAAAAACCTCATTGTCTTTTAATCTGTGAGATAACTCTTTTACCTATAAAGCTCCCTTAAAAACTGTAGGGGCTTTTCTGAATCTGATTCACACTCTCTCTGTGCTAGAATACCATATCTGTGACTGTCTGAAGCCTGCTTTTTTTACTCCAGACTTAATCAGTGCCACTTTGCATATGTCCGCTTGCCCAGGGATAATACACTTAAGATTTCTAGAGCCCCTTTTATTTACCTGAGAGAGACTTGTAGGCTGCACCTGAATTATTTGAAATGTTTTCACAATGGGTTTTATTCCAACATCCTTGGTGTGATATTTATGTCAGGGCCATATCTTTCTGACAAAGCTCTGGATTTGATCTTTCATTAGCTTGAGAAGCTGGAGTTAAGTAATAGTTTCATTTTTTATTACAAGCCCTGGTCTTTCTGTGTTCCTTTTCTTTACTTTCAAACTCATTAGTTCTTCATTCAGCACATCTTTTACTTGTACCTTACCAAAAGTAGCTCTTAAGAACCAACAAACACCTTAACATTCTGCCTGGAAATCTCATAACTCAAATGCAAGAGTTCATTAGGTACATTTTCTATCATGCAAATTCCCTCAGCTGACAGATTACCCATTGCTTTTCTCTACATAACATGGATAGCCATTTTTCTGGCCTCCAGTAGCCTTTCTCTTAGCACTTTTCCAAATTCCAACGGCCACCCAGAACCAAACCAGAGGCCACATATTGTAGAGCTTTGTTATGTTAAAATTTATTTCCCTCTAGCCTGTTCTCTCTTACTCTTCCAAGTTTCTTTCACCTCTCTCGAGCAAGCTAGGCTGAATTTATTCTCATGACTATGGCAGGGTTCCAAGAAAGCAGAAATACTCAAGTATTTTTTCAAACCTCTGCTTTAAGTTGGCTATCACATCCTATTGGCCTACACAAGTCACATGGACAAGCCCAGATTCTAGGGATCCAGAACTAAAACCCACCCCTTTAGTGAGGGGAATTGCAAAGTGTATGGATATAGAAGGGTAATTTGTTGGAGTAATCAATAAACCGGTCTACCATAAATATTTCAGTTTAACACTTAGACAGTGTTTGATTTATATATAAAGAAGGAACTGAAGACTGAAATAATAGCTTTTAGTAAGCAGCTCAATATCAGTGCTTGAATTATAAAACTTAATCTTTAACCATGTTATATACTTGTTGTATATCTACCAATGTATATCTTAAAAGCACATGGTTTCAAATGGGTCTTACATTCCTTATCTGTAAACCTAAACAGTACAGTGACTTTACCAAAGGAAGGTGAATGGGGATGTGAAATAATAAAATTCAGTGCATAGGACAAAAAAAAAGTCAATATCTGTTTCTTATTCCTCAGGTGATATTTGTAATCCTAATCCATGTGAAAATGGAGGTATCTGTTTGTCAGGATTGTCCGACGATTCCTTTTCCTGCGAGTGTCCAGATGGCTTCACAGATCCCAACTGTTCTAGTGTTGTGGAGGTTGGTAAGTGCAAGATTTAAGCATTTCAGTAGTGATCCCCCGTTTCATGAGTGACTGACAGATTTGTCTGTAGTGCATTATGGGTATTCTGTATATATTTCTTTGTTGCTAAATATGGTACTTCTCTGTAGGACTCAATTTTATCATTTATTTGGTTATTTCCATTTTATATTTATTTGATATTTTTATTAGTATTCTCAAATAGATAATTTAAAATATGTTTGAGTGATGAAGACTAGGCTTTAAAGATACAAATTATACTTGTATATAATAAATTTCTTACTTAATATTAATATACATTTAAAATTTCATTCTCACTGGAAAATATTTTCCAAGTTAATTTGTTTAAATTAAATAGTCACTCCAAGGAAATTAGAACTTTTTTGTGAGTGATAATGTCCATCAGTATTTTTTAGCTCTTCTAATAATTACTTTTCTAAGACTATAAGTAAATGAAAAAAATATTCCCACTACATTGTTCTTCAAAGTCTTCTCAAAAACTTTGCTTTGCAAATATGATTAGTCACTGATCACATTTCAAATGGATTCAGGGTAACTTCCGTAATTTCCAAATAGTTCCCCATTAAGGAAATAGCTATAGTTTAAGTAATTTAGCAGTATGTAAATTTGTATAGAGATTTTTCACTCTGATTAAAGGATACAATGATTAAGTTTGAAAAAATTTCTATATGTTTTTACATCAGTACCAAAAAGAAACAGTGGACTATATGTGTTCATATAGGAAAAACAACTGTGGTTTACGTTAAAGTTCTGTCAATCAGCACTTGATAACTTGAAAAACTTGGAAATTTTGATGGCTTTTGAAAAGTAGTTTTAACTAGAAAAGTAATAGTGTCCATAGTAAAGGATCAGTTTGTTACTCATCATTGTACGAAATGCACGTAACCTAGTGCCTTTATGCATAATGGGAGCTCAAAAGCTATTGGCTGAATGAAAGAACAATTAAATAAGACCATTAACTTGCCATTTTTGGTCATTAGTTATTGGATTTTAATGTGCTTTATTTTTTAAATGTGTTATTCTTGTATTATTTTATATTACTTTAGTATGAATATATTGTATCTGAAAAAGTTAATTATATTATTAATGAAAGGTATTTTGCTCACTTAGTTCATTTCAAAGATAATTCTTTCTTAAATCTTTTATTAACTGGCTGCTATTTTAGGAGTTTTGATTCAGTGCCATAGAAATAAAACTATTGTAACCACTTTGACCCAGGTACCAAATATGTACAGTAAGTTTCAAAGTTTAATATGAGAATCATATCTTCAGGAAAGCCTTTATCTCTGAAGAAAATTATAGTCATAAATATTCCTAACAGGAATATATGAGCAGAATAAAAATTTAGTGTTGTATTTTAAGCCCACTAACCCCAAATTGGCAGGGCCTTAGATTTGTAGTATATAATATTTTTGTTGCTACTGTGTAAGAGCCAATTCTGGAATTGAAGAGGCAAATATATGTAAATAAATAAGACACCATTAGCTTCATAAGATTTTTAAAATAAATATTTGAATACTTTGGATCAGATTCTTAAACATGAATTCAACATTTGTCATTTTATAAGAAGAATGATACAATGGGAAGCAAATTTAAAAACTCAAAACACTGCAATATTCCACATAGTTCAATGAGACTTTGGGGAATCAAATGCTTATAGAATTAAGTTTTACTCAGATACATTATTATATATTAGTAAATATCCCTAATATTCAGTAATAGGATAGTTACACTGTTTTCTTGATATGTTGTAAGCAACTTCTTTCTTCCATAAGGTATAATTAGGAGTTCTTGGAAGAAATATGTTCAGTTCATATTTGCTTTGTCATTTAGCTTAGCATATGAGTTATGCCAATTCTAATTTAATGTACTGGTTTAATAATATTAAAATAATTTTAAAAAATAACTGCCCTAAAGTTACAGTGTCTTAAATACAACTTGGTTATATTATGAAATAATTTTTTTTAAGGATGAGAAGATAAGGGGAAATCAAATACACCTTTCAGGGTAGATACCTCTTCAGGGCAGACATGTTACCTTACTTGTCTTCCTACTACTTCTTTATCCACTCCATATTTTCTTGCATATAGTAAGATAATTCTAAGTAATTATTGGATAAAAATGCTCAGTAGCAATACCTTTTCTATCTAGCTTACCTTATTTTTTTAAATCGTATTTTAAACCTAATTAGTGGGACAAAATATATGAAATATTAGGTCATTAAAGACTATCCTGCCTTTTTAGTGTACAAAATCTGCTTTGCTGCACTATTTTTGTAGTTGTTTCCCTGTTGTTAGGTTGCACAGTGCAGGAAGCACAGTGTATACTAGAATTCTGTGCAAAAACAAACAAAAACACAAAAGTTGTAGGTGTTATAATGTAATCTCTTAAAAGACAAAAGATTTGAACTGTTACCATTGCTGTATTTTTACTTACACATTAATCCCTCCCAAAGATGGATCTGCATCTAAGGTTTCTTCTAACCTTTCAAACTATATAAATTTGTGCCTCTATAAAGTTCTAAATCTTATTTTTAATTTTCAAAGGAAATAAAAATAATCTTGTCTATATTTGCTTAGAAAAATTTTCTTTTTTTTTCAAGGTAGGAGAGCCAGGGAGACTTTTATTGAGAGATACAGTGAGAGGACAGACAGAGCTCCCGGCTCACACCAGGAGGGGACAAGAGAGCCCCAGAAAAACTTATGTTTTGATCCCACTTTAAAAAATTATTTTTACTCTGTTCATTCTATAATCAAATACTCCCTTTTGTAGTACATCTGGAAAGAAGGAGAATTTCAAACACATGCTATTTTTAGAGATAAAACTCACTTCTTTATTTTACCTCAAGTCTTATTACTTTGCTGTAACCTTGTTTTACGTTCTGATGCTACTTACTTCAAAAGAAGTCCTCATTCAATTCTGTGCTTTTATTCTTCCCTCTTAAGTATCTAATGTCAGATGAGCACAAAGCACTTTACTACATCTGCAATCAATCCTCACATCACTTACATCCAATATTATGTGTGGGGGCATGGAGAAATTCACTTTCTCAGATTTGTGAACTTCATTCATCAAATAACATTGCTCTTCCTTGGAAACATCGCTTTTTCTTGGACTTAATTCTTGACCTGTATGTATACTCCCATATCTATTATACTTCTCTCTGTCTCTGTCTACCTCTCTCCCACATGCATTTCCCTGATACAGAATAGCACCACACATCAATGTTCTCAGCTTTTTAGAGTTCCTATGACTCACTTATGATATCTACAGAAAGCACTAGGAAAACATCTCTTTGAGCAAAGGAATGAAAAAACAAAAATTACTTCAAATTTTCATATTTGAAGACACTACCCAGATTATCCAGTGTTTGCACAGATGTGTACTGGATTCTGCCTCATTCAGAGAATTTGTAGACAAACCACCATTTGTTAAGTCCCAGCGTACTTCCCAATTAATTGTCTGCTTACATTCCTGGTTGGCACTGTGTAATTTGGAGCCAAATCTTGGTGTATCTATTTCATGCAGCAATTTCTATTATCAGTGAAAATTTTAGAGTTCAAATATGGAAACTTTGGGAGTTATTAAATTGTCCAATTTCCACGGTATAATTCTCCTTTGTATGCCATAAGAGTAATCCAATAAACTAGCAACAAATATAAACTTAAAACTCAAATATGTAATATATTAATGCAATCAAAGAGAACAAAATAAGTGGTTCATTTTTAAAAAAGAATATCTTAGTTTTCATTTATTCTTAAATATTTGTTGAAAACCTACTAAATAATAGTTACCTACATAGTAGAATGCAATGGTAAACAAATTTACAGAAATTGCTCTCTAGCTAGGAAAGCAGATAAATAAACAGATGAATATCATGAGTGTTGTGATAGCAGAATGATGTGGAGCCATACGAATATAAAGCAGGTAGGACTGTCTTAAGCTAGGTGTCAGGGAATGCATGCCTACATAAGAAATAACATCTTGACAAAATTCTAAAAACTAACTTCAATCTAGCAGGCAGGAAGCAAAAATTATTCCAGACAAAATAAATAATTTTTAGAAAAGCAGGAGATAACAAAAGTCATGATTCTGTGAGCTGGAAGAAGTTGTGTGTGGCTAGAACTTGGAGATACACGGTGGCAAAAATGAGTCTGGAGACGGTGATGATGGAAGATACTGCAATCTTGCATGATGTTTTAAGGATTTGGGCTTTATACTAACAACAGTGGAGATCTGTATTTTTAGAAGATCACAATCATTGCCATAAGGAAGAAAAACAGCAATGAAGCACAGAGTAAGGCAGGGGAACAATTTGAAGACTTCTGTAGAAGACCAGGTCAGAGACGATTATCTTGGGCTGGGGCAGTGTAGTAACAAAGGGAACGGAGAGGAGACCATCAATAAGTATTTAAAGGATGTGAAACATAATTACTGGTGACTTGCAGGTTTATAAAATGAAAGGGGTTGGAAAAAAGGAAACATAAACAAGAACCATTTCCAGTTTCTGGTCTAAGCAACTGGGTGTCATTTACTGAGATAGTGTAAATTGAGAATACAGTGGAATGGAAGGCAGGAATAAGTACAGTATTTCACATATTGAATTTGAGGAATTTTCTAGACATTAATTAAGAAGTCAGATATACATCTGTATGTCGTAATTGTACAGATAATTATTGATGCTCAGGGAATGTATCAATCTGCCCAGAAGCAGAATAACTTCTGAAAAGAAGAAAGGACAATGAAATGGAAACCAATAAGAGGTTCATCAATAATTAAGCAAGAGGTAGAGAAACTTACATCTATAAAGAGGTCTGAGAAGGTAGGGTCAGGGAGATAGAAAAGAAGTCAAGGAAGTGTTGTACCACAAGTTAAGGGTAAACAGTGTTTCAGGGAATGGATAATCGGCAGTATCAAATATTATGGAGAAGTTGACCAAGATAAACATTTACTTTAATTGCATGTGACTTATGGATGATCTT